GACCAGATCAGGCTTGCAAGGAAATTTCTCATAAAGATTTTGGAAGCAGCATCCTATCACTTCAGCATGTGTTTTTGAGAAGTGAGCTAGTGAAGTCCACACTTGGGGGCAGCAACTTTACCAAGGCTTGAATGTGTGGAGATGAGGACCATACAGGTCCATGTTAGAAGATATATGTCACGTCAGCCTTGCAAGTTAACATAGGAGGAGGCAAATGCATGTAATGCTAGTGGTCTAAAAACAATCTGAGAGTCAGCCAACTGAAAACTCAGTAACCTGTTCAGCCTTTGGGAAAGTCCCATTCTAACTAGTTACTCCAATGCGACCCAAGAGGTGGTTTTAAATAGGGAAGGCTGTGATACCAATATTAAACTTTTTTAGCCAAAAGGAAAAATGAAACCGAAAGGTACTTGCCAAAGCTGTATGCTCTGATTTCATCAGTCCATGTCCCTTAGAAGAGTTCCTCCCTCCCTGGAATTATTTTTTTTGAAAATTTCTTGTTTTTATAAAAGACTTACTTGATTAACATAAAGGGTAAAGTGTGTTTGGATTTATTTTGGTAACTAGATTTTTAGATCTGGCTCTAACTCTTACCAGCTGAGCAGCATAAATTTGCACAAAGAACTTGCCAGTTTTATATTCAGTTTATTTTCTTAGGTCTGATGGATGGAACAATGAAGAATTTAGGTGTACAAATACAAATGGTCTCAGAGGTAGGACTGATGAGCTTGAGAAGAATAGGCAAAGTTGAGGCCAGAAGCACTGGGAAATGGAATCCAGAGCCAACTGGGTATTGGAGAGCATGATTGATGGCCCTGCAGAAGCAGAGTGACGTAGTTCATCATGAGTCCAAAGAGAATTACTTCCTCATGTCTCTTGACAGCTTGGGTTGGGAGAGAGAATTCTGATTTGTAAATCATGGGGTTTGTCTAGAATTAGGATTGACAAGAAAAGGGAAATTGGAGATAAAGGAAACAAGATAATTCAGGGTTTTAATGAGTAGGAAAAGGTGGTCCCTTGAGACAAATTTTCCCAATTGTTACATTTGAATAGAGAACTATCTAAAGCTACTGAGAGATGCTTCTGCCTGGACTCTCTTCTTTCAGAAAACACTGTCTGTGTGCCCAGACATCTGTTCTGTCTTGCCATTTATGTCTCTAACACATGGCAAATCTCTTAGACTGTACTGACTTAGACAGCTAAGAAACTAAATCCTTTATGATGCCTAAGGAAAAAATGTGACAAAAATGTGAAGAGCTTCCAGTTGGAAGTTGAATATCTTTTATGAGCATCACTTTATTATAAGGATTTTCAGAAAGGCCTTCCCTAGCAGTAATGAATCACTAATGATAGGACTCCAGTCCTAAGTAGATAGCCTGTTTTGAACAGAGGTCTCCTGTTGTAGACCTGGCCATAATTGAGGTCAACACAACAAAAGCTCTAAGGTTAAAGCATTTACTTTTTAAGTGTTTGCCTTTTCTTCATGGATAGACAGAAGGCAGGAACAGGGCTCTTTTACCCATTAGTCACAAAAGCATAATGCTTAGGATATATAAACTTTTCAAGACGTAACAAAAATGTGGTTCAGAAAAATTGTTTTAAAGATTTATTAGACAAAAGTAAAACAAAACCTTTAAAATTAGAATTTTAATTTCATGCTCGTCAAATATTCTATTTTGGCAACTTTATTACTAATTTCAGAATTCGTAAACATATTTGAAAGTAATTTACATATGATGATTTGAAATTCAATCAAAATACATAGTTCTCATAATGAACTGTAATTCATCACTTATCTTTGTTGTCTACTTTGTAAAAACCTTTTTGATTGACTTATCCCAGTAGATAAATACATAGAAAACATTTCACAACCTATGTAGCTAATTCTGTGTCTTTTTAGCAGAACTCTGATGTTTCTGACAAAGTCTGATGTGGACTTTGCCAAAAACATTCTGGGAGCTTATGAGATAGCTTCTTCCCCAGGACCACCCAAAGCAGGCAATGGTTTGCATTTACTTTTAAAGTGTTTAATTAAGAAAACCTCCAAAACATATGTAAGTTGAAGGAATTTTATGCCAACATTCATCCTAAACTATATACTATAGTGAAATTTTATTTAACTTTTTTTGTCATGTAGGTAGTTATATATTTATGAAGCACCAGTTAATTTTACCATGCAACTATTTTGAACAGCTCAATGATTTAATCAGAAGGTAAACCTCAATGCAACCAACATCCAAGAAATAAAAGTTTCTATGACATAACCTTGCATTTCTAGTTCTTGAACACAAAGTAAATGATCTTTTCACCCCCATGACCTTTTCTACTTTCCTGGCTTTTGAAATTAATTCAGATTATATAGTCTTATCTAAAGACTGAGAGCTAGGATCCACAAATAAGAGAGAATATGTGACGTTCTGGATTAATTCATTTTGAATGAGAGGGAGATGGTGGGACACACAAGTGGATGGAGAGGAAAACTGGGGTGAGGAATTTTAACTGGGGTGGGGAAAGAAGGGTGATACAGAGGGAGAGGGGGAAAGAGAGAGAAAAACTATTGGGAAACATTATTTTATAAGTTTATTAAATATACATATATGTATGCATAATAATATATAATCATATATCTTATAATTTATAATTTAAATTGATTTACACCACACATGATAATAATACTCTCCCCAAGAGCCATATACTGACAAGAAACCCAATTCCAGGTATGGAATGCCTTCCTTCAAAAATTGTTGGTCATGGTAGTCCAAGAGACTCCCAAAACTGTATGGGCTATTTCCATTACCCTTGGTTGCCTCCCAGAAGTTGACGATAAGACCCTTTTGCTGAAGATGCCACACACTTCGAACACAGGACTTGGAGGACTAAAGCTGGAACGGATCTGGAAGCATCCTCCCTGAGGACCAATTCTCCTACTATCAGAAGGTGCTGTAGAAGATGCTAAAGGAGAAAGACAATCAATAGTTTCCCCCAGCTGTAAAGTCTACAGACTACAAAGATGATTGACCTGGGAAAATATCCACAATGGTGCAATAGTGACACTTTTATCTAAGGATAGCCAACAGCTTTCTAAATGAATTTTAGACCCACTCAGTAGGAGGGAATTCACACCTGGTACTGGAAACCTAGCCAGATACCAGCAGCTGGAGAAGTCATAGACCCTAGAGATAAAATTAATTCTAACATTTTCCTAAACCAGTATACTTTCTAACTGCATTCTAAGTACTTATCCTTTTACCTACAGATAAGTGAAGCTCTTACCCCTCATCAAAGAAGCTTCTTGAAACAGAGATTATTACAGAAACCTACAACTGGTCAAAATGCAAAGAATAAGTGATTGTGGGGTGCCTATCCCAAGCTGGTATATCTGTAGTGCAACTCCTACACTAAGGGTAGGGAAACACTGTGGAAGGGAGGAAAGAAAGATTGTAAGAACCAGAGAATAAGAACTAGGACAGGATTGTTACAAGAAAGTGTTTTCTAGACATGCCAGGGAAGCTGCATCCATGAAATCTCAAGAGTACAACTGCTTAAACAACACCTTCGTAATGACAACACTAATAGGCTATCCAAATCCCAAATGGCCAGGCTTGAACAAGAATAACACTAAAAGGAGTAAATATGTTATTTATGCATATGTATATATGTTCCGATAACTAGAAGAGATGATGAATTTGAGAGGGAATGAGGGGACATGGGGAGAGAGAGGAGTGGAAATGATGTAAATGCAGTACACATGTAAGAAAGCAAAATATAAAGAAGAAATAAAACAGTAAATTGAGAAAAACTCCCAAGTAGAGCTTTTTCCTTAAAGGTAGGATGTTAAGGAAATTATCTTAGTTTGCCTTTTTTTTAACCTCTTCATTTTTGTTATTTTTCTATAATTGGAAAATAAACATATGGTATTTTGCAAAAAAAAAGTTTATGTAGACTTTGTAAGTTTTCTAGTATGTTCTCTAGCATATTTAGAGATTCTGAACACTAGAAACCTAGAAGATTGACTATTTTTATAATCAACAAATACACCAGACTGTCAGTAAACAAGCTAGATCTATGTCTCATGGGACATTTGCTAATGTAAGTTTTCTAAATATGTGCAATTTAGAGCTTGTATTTGCCATTATCCGGTGAAACAGTTTGCATTAAACCTAATGCAATCCAATGCTTTTCAATGTGTGTTTTTTCCTGAATTCCCTTCAGACATGATTGCAGAAAACCCCACAGTGAAAAAGCTTTTCTCTTCTCCTGTGCAGTGATTTAACATCTCATGTTTCTGTCAGATTGAAAATTAGATTCTAAGACAGCTCTGCACCTGACAACTCTGCCAAGGTGTGAAATTCTCTGTATTCTATGGGCATAATGAACATATGCAACTGTTTTCATACAGCCTATTCAGTAAGCCCTGGCCCACTTCTCTCAAGCATGCTATCTGCAATGCCCACGTTCTCCAGAAATCAGCCTCAGAGAAGACCAGCTCCTGGATACTTTCTTTTAATGACTTTTTATGATTTTTATAAATATAACTTGATGGCATTTAAATCCTCTCCTCAATCTGCACCTTTGCCTACTGCTCCCCTCTCAATTTAATGTAATCTATTCAATGTAAGTTACTTTTATGAATATAAGCATATACATACATACACATACACACACACATATATATATGCATACACACAACCTATATAGCCTGAGTTTTGCCCCCAAATGCCCTTTAGAGTGGGTCCACTCACTGGACCCTGGTTAACCTACCAAGGGACCCATCCCTGTAAGAGACTGTCTCTCCCCCTCCCATGAGCCATTAATTGTCAAAAGTTCCTTAGGCTGGATTTGATTTCTTACCCACTTATCAATGTCTATACTGGAATTTTGACTGCTTTGAGCTTTCATGGGACTTGTACATGCTGTCTCCATTGCTGTGAATTCATACGTGTAACTGACCTGCTGGAAGACTCTATTTCCTTGTGGTCATTCACCACCTCTGACTCTTACAAAAGCAGTGGTTAGATGCCACAAATTAGGTAGCAATGCCTTAACCAAATGCATGTTGTTAAGCCCAAGGGCCTCTCCTACCCTTGTCAAGGGGAGGGCTAACATTCTCTCCTTTCATACAACATGTGGGTATTTCTTGCAATATAAACAACTTGATTTTCCAGGACTGATGATGCTACAATCCTCCATTTGATTTCCTGTGTTTCATTCTGCTTACCAGCAGGTGTGTTTTAAAATAGCCTTTGACAGAATACATAAAATTACAGGCCTTTATGAATGGGAATAAAAAGAATTTAGAACATTCAAAGTAGGTTTATAGTAGGCATTTACTTTTTAAAAATATTTTATTGGGCTGGATATGGTGATGTACATCATTAATTCCAGCACTGGTGAGGCAGAGGCAGGCAGATCTCTGTGAGATGAAGGTCAGCCTGGTTTACATCATGAGTTCTAGGCCTGCTAGGGACACAGGGAGACCCTCTTTCTAAGAACAATAAATATTATTGGGAAAAATTGAATACACAAATAAGTTGAAAGAACATTTCAGAGAACATTCAGGTACCAAACTCCTACTGTGCACGTTCATGAATACAGCAGGGTATGAGGAAGTAGGTGGGATTTTTGTTGCTATTTCCTTGCATGCAAGTATTGATGCTTTCTTCAACACTTTGAAGAGTGGCATTGATAGCTCATAAGCAAAGTAAATTAAAATTCTTATGTTAGTTACAATTTCAGTACTTTGACAGTCATAAGGGTAAAATTAGGATTATACTTCTATGCATGTATAAAACTGAATCATGGGAGTGTATAATGTAGTATTGTGGAACATCAGGTAACACAGAATACAAGAAAGATGCAGTGCTTAAAAATACACATCCAGATAGTAACCCAGCTTAGAACTGGGAAAATGAACAGCAGACCTCAATCTTATCCAAAGGAATATTGACAACTGATTGCTGCTAGATGAGGAACAGCCGACCCTCCTAAAACAAAGACCTCTAGATAGGCTGACTAGATTCACCAGAAGGGCAAGTAGTGGGGAATGGCTGGGGGTGCTGACAACACACAAGACAGTAGCAGGGATATCAGAGTATAAGTGGGGGGAGGGAGGCTATGGGAAGGTGCTATCTGGGAAGTGGGTGTAAAGTCAAATAAGATGGTTTGGGATGTTCTGTGTGATATACACACACATTTAAAAAAATCAACAAATTTTAAAAAATGTATTATATTTGAGGATGCATGGAAATTTACGTCATGCTAATTAGTAGAGGTGATAAACAATACCATTGAAATCAAAAATAAATTAATTAAAATAATAATAATAATAATGATAATAATAATAATAATAATAATAAATACACATCCGCTTGATTCCCCTACAGCTTAAGTAGCTCCACTCTCTCCCCACACTTGGTCCCACTTCTAGCCTTAGGTCCAGACCTGTGCCTGTTCTTTCCACCTCACATCTCTTAACTACCCTCTTAGTCCAGACCCAGCCACTGCATCCAGACCCCCTGAACCAAGACTAGGTCAATTCTCCAGCTCAGTTTGTTAGACCCTCCACTTCGTTTGTTATCATGTCTGCTCTCTCCCCACACTCTGCATTCTGCCCACTTCTAGCCTTGGGCCCAGGCCCACTCCAGCACTTCCATCACGGATCTCTGGGCTATCAAGACTAGCTCAATCCTCCAGCTTAGTTTTATAGATCCTCCACAGCATGAACCACCCCAATCTTGCCCTGGCCTCCTGATCTACCTGCCACAGACCTACTTAAAACCCCTGTAAGTCATTTCTTACCCACTGTGCCTTGCTTTCCCTATACCCTGAGCAACTCCACTCTCCCCCAACTCCGTTCCCCTTCTAGCATTGTGCCCAGGCCAGCTTCTGCTCTTTCTACCTCAGATCTCTGGACTGCCCTCTTAGTGCAGATCTTCCCAATGAATCCTCATCTCCTGCGCCCAGACTAGCTAAACTCTCGAATTTAGTTTGTTAAATCCTCCACAGGCCTTGCCATCTCATCCCCATTCCCCACCCATTGTCTTGCCCTTGGGTTTCGCCTCCTGATCTCCCTGATCTTCTTACTATCAGACCAGCCTACTCCCTTGCAAGAAGGAAGCAAAGACAAAATATTTTTTCATCTCTGAGCAAAAGCAATCAAGCTACATTAATAATAGAAAGAGAACCAAACTTCAACTAAACAAAGGCAGAATAGAATAGCATATCAGACATACAACCAATAAAAGATATACATAAGCCCAAACAGCATCATAGAATAAGCTTTCTATTCAGCAGCCCATGGAAGTTTCTTTAAAATTGGTTGACCACATACCAGGGCACAAAATAAATCTCAACAAATTAAAAAATTGAAATAATTTCATGCATTCTATTAGACCACAATGCAATAAAGTTTACAATAAAAAACAAAGTAGCACTCACTAGTAACTACATGAACTAATGGAGAATAAACAATACACCTTTGACTGATTAATGGGCCAAACAAGAAATTAAGAAAGAAATAAAAGTATTACTGGAACTAAATCAAATAAAATTACCACACAGAAAAACCTCTGGCACACTTATAAACAGTCCTGAGAAGAAAGCTTATAGCTCTAAATACCTACATTAAAAAATCAGAAAGAGCTCATATAAATGACTTAACAGTAAAGTTCATGACTCTGGAAGGACAAGAATAAACCAAACTCAAACATAGCAGAAGAGAAGAAATAATAAAATCAGAACAGAAATTAATGAAATAGAAACAAAGAAAACAAGACAAACAATCAATGAATCTAAGAGCTGGTTCGTTGAAAAGTTAAAAAAGAAAGACAGACCCTTAGTCCAGTTAACCAAAAGAAAGGAAGAGCAAATCCAATTTAAAATCAGAGATGAAAGGTGATGCATCACAATAGAGAGCAAAAAATCAAGGACATTATAAGGGAATACTTTAAAAACCTATACTCTAAATTGTACCAAACATTCACAGAAGATTTAACACCAATACTTCTTAAATTATTTTGAAATACAGAAACAAGGAGAACTCCCAAACTTCTTCTATGAATCCAGTATCACCCTAATACCAAAACCAGGTAAAGACACAACAAAAAAGAAAAGTATAGACCCATATGCTTAGCAAAAATAGACACAAAGATTCTGAACAAAATACTCACAAACTGCATACAGACACATATCAAAAAATCATGCACCATTATCAAGATGGCTTTATTCCAGAGATGCAGGGATGAGTCAACCTATGTGAGTCAATAAATGTAATAATTCATATAAATAGGATCAAACACAAAAATCACATTGTCATCTCAATAGATGCAAAAGAGGCCTTTGACAACATCCAACATGCATTCATGTTGAAAGTCCTAGAGGGAATTGGACTGGAGGGAACATACCTCAACATAATGAAGCTGTATACAACAAACCCACGGCTAAGATAATTCCCAAATTTCCACCAGAAAAAAACTGTTACAAATGATCAATACTTTCAGCCAAGTAGCAGGATACAAAATCAATCTACAAACATCGGTAGACTTTCTATATCTAACAATAATAAGTAATCAAAGAAAGCATTTATGGAAAGCCTCCTATTCACGATAGCCTCAAAAAAAAAAAAAAAGGACTAAACCTAAGCAAAGATATTAAAGATGTATATAATGAAAATTTTAAATTCTTAAAGAGATAGAGGAAGACACTAGGAGATGGAAAGACCTACCATGCTCATGTATTAGTAGAATTAATATTGTGAAAATGATGATCCTACTGAAAGCAATCTAGAGATTCAATTCAATGCGAATCAAAAGTCCATGACATTCTTCACAGAGCTATAAAAAAAAAATCCTAAAATTCATATGTAATGACAAAAGACCCCAGATAGCCAAAGCAATCTACAGCAAAAAGAGTAATGCTAGGGGACTCACCATACCAGATCTCAAACTATATAACAGAGCTATCATCATAAAAACAACATGATACTAGTTGAAAAAAGACATGTTGATCAATAGAATATAGTAGAAGACCCAAACATGAGTATATGCAATTTCAGTCACCTGACATTTGACAAAGGTGCCACGAACACACAATGGAGGAGAGACACCATCTTCAACAAACGGTACTGGCAAAACTGAATTTCCACCCATAGAAGACTGAAATTGGACCCTTATCTTTCACCCTGCACAGAAGTCAACTCTAAGCGGACCAAAGAAGGACATCAATACGAATCTTGAAACTCTGAAACTGCTAGAAGAAAACATAGGGAGTACCCTATAAGATATAGGTGTAGGAAAGGACTTTCTAAATCAGACATCAGTTTCTTAGGAATCAAGGTCAACAATCAACAAGCAGGACCTCACTAAACTAAAAGGCTTCTGTACAGCCAAAGAAACAACCAAGGAATTGAAGAGGAAACCCACTGAGTGGGAGAAAAATTCACCTTCTTCTCATCCAAAAGAGGATTAATATCCAGAATATACAGAGAACTCAAAAAACAAAGAAACAAGAAAATAAATGACCCAATAAAAAGATGGGGTAAGGATCTGAGCAGAGAGTTTCCAGTGAAGAAATAAAAATGACTAAGAACTACCCTAAAAGGTGCTCAACATCTTTACTAATTAGAGAAATGCAAATCAAAATCACTTAAATATTTCATCTTACCCCAGTCAGACTGCTAAGATCAAGTGAACAAAGACACCAAATTCTGGAAAGGATGTGGAGAAAGGGGAATGTTTATTCATTGCTGGTAGGAATGCATACTCATGCAGCCACTATGGAAAGTGATGTGGATAACTCCTAAAAAGCTAAAAAGGAATCTAATGTATGATCCTGTTATACACCCAAAGAACTCACCCTACTATCGAGATACCTGTACATCCATATTTGTTAATGCTCTTGCACAATAGTTAAAAAATTGAAACAACTTAAATGTTTCTCAACTGATGAATGAATAACGAAAATGTGGTATATATACACAATGGAGTTCTGCTCAGTGGTAAGGACTTGAACGTATTATACTAAGTGAAGTAACACAGACTCATAAAAGCAAGCAACATATGTTCGCCCTCATCTGTGACTCTTAATACCAATCCCTTATGTGTGAGTATATATCCTGATGGAAAGGAAC